GACTGGTAACCCAAAGTGGATCTAAATAACATTCAGTCGGGTTGAGCAAAGTACTCGGCTGTATGTGTTGCTTTCAGCCCATTCGACCAAGCTGGATCTGTGTTTTTCTAATTTAACATAAATAGATTTGCCTTAAAGCCCATGTATGAAAAAATAACAATTATATGATAAAAACTGTCTCTCTTCCCCCCACCAGGCGTTACTGAAGATGGACTGCCAGGGTCTGGTTGCCAGACTGGTCCTGGATTTCGTCTTGCTGACCACGGCAGTGGAGGTGGCGTCCCGGTGGAGGGAACTGGCCGAGAAACTTGCTCGAGTGTCCAGACAGCAGATGGAGGCTTACGAGGCTCCGCACCGCGATAAGAACGGTCTATTGGACAATGAGGTAAGAGACTTGGGAAAGTCTGCCCCCCCACCCTCAGAAACAGAAAACTGCTCCCTCTTCCATCCCGTAATGTTCAGCCAACATTTGGTTAGATTTTGTCAAACTGGCACCGTTAAGAGTGTTAGATGTTTGCAGAGTACCCAACAATGTACCGACATCTATCACCGGATTCCTTTGATGCTGATGAAAACCTAAAATCATGATGATTCTGGATTAAAATGAGCATCTTCTTTGATTATGTTTATTTGCAATGGATAGGTAAATAAACAACGAGGTCAACTTCCTCCTTTCCTGTAATTAGATATGCTACGTGCTAGGCTAATTTATGTTGTAAAGACGACCACATTTTCAAGATGTTACAAAGATAAAAAAACGACATATAGTCACATCTTAAGATAGCTTATGTTAACTAAATGCTAGCTACCTAATCTACATTAATTGTAAGCTAGTGAGTTAGCTGACTAGTTACTACTTTTATCTTTCAAACATCTTCAAAATCTGGTTGTCTTTTCAACATACACAAGCTTAGCACATAGCATATCTAAGCACAAGGGTGGCGAAGTCATCACATACCTTCCTCTGGCTCTGATTGGCTAGTTATCGTTGCCTTCCATAGTTTGGTTGGTTAGGATTAGGGTCAATCAGAGCCAGAGTAGGGCTTTAATCTCGCGTATAAAGAAAAGAGAAGGTTGACAGAGGAAGGGTCCACAATCTGTACCATCCTAAACTCTTCTTCTTCTCTCTCTGACCACAATCCCAACCCTTCAGTCCATGTGGAAGCCAGCCTACGACTTCCTCCTGACTTGGGCCGCCCACGTGGGGGACAGCTACCGAGACATCATCCAGGAGCTCCACCTCGGCCTGGACAAGATGAGGAACCCCATCACCAAGAAGTGGAAGCACCTTACCGGCACCTTAATCCTCGTCAACTGCCTCGATAACCTCCGCAGTGCCGCCTTCTGTCCCACCGGATATGGAGATTTTGCTGTGTGAACATTTTCATCCAACCCGGAGAACACTTTTAAAAAGTCTGTAAGGGGTCATCTTCTTCGGGACATGGTTGGGGTTACTGGAACTTCTTGGTCCTAAGATTCATCTGTGAAGTTTGATTGAACCCTGTGAACATTCATTGTTTTTGTGACAGTTTGGGATGGATGTCAGGGATCAAACCTTGGACCGTCCAGTTTAGGGTGTCTGGTGAATCTCTAGGCGTCCCTCAGCCTTCGATCTTCAGGTCAGTCAGTACGTGCTGGTCTCTTGTTTGGATTCATGGATCGGCACCAAGGAAGAACCCACTGGTTCTTGTGAAGCGCCAGATGTAGAAAAGCCCTTGGAGGATTTCTGGCATTGTTTAGGTCAACGTGAAACTGGAAGATCTGCCTCTTTATGCCTCTTGTTACATTCGTCCTGCTTTCTCTTTCCTTTTACTCTTCTCCATCTCTTTTCTACCTCACCTTTTGTCTTTATCACTTCCTGTCTCGCTTGTGTTCTTTGTCTCTTTTACACGATAAACTTTTCTCTTCCTTTCGCTCCAATTAATTACAGTTCGAATGATTTGTATTTATTCGTTACGACATCTCTCTGTCCACTTTTTTGTTCACCCCTCAGGACAACATCAGAGACCTCAACCACTGCAGTACACAACCACACATACTGTGAACTTTCCTCTATCTATGAAAGCTGATTGGACCACCATACTCAACTGATCATGCTCACAAACCTTTGTTGGCAGTCTTATGCTTTCACTGCCTCTCTACGGCATTTTCTTGTGTTAAATTCAATGAAAATGAATCAGAAATGGTTTAATACGTTCAAACATTACGATCATTTGTCAGTAATTAGCTTGCCAAAAACTGTTAGCCCAGTGCTAACTTTACATGTGACTCTGTGTAGTCCATGCAGTAAAGGTACATTAGCTCATATCTGTTTATGCAAGATATACTTCTATTTTTTTATACTTGCAGAACAATACAGATTACGTATTATCAACAGTGTTATTTTTTTTTTGTACTTGAACTGTTCCGTCCCTCCAACCTCGGTATGTTCTTTCCAGCTAAAAACAAAAAAGCATGGCTGTGATTTTTTTAGCCGAACATGCAAATCGAGTTCCCTGTGCAAAAGCGAATGCTACGTACTTCAATAGCTAGCTTGTTAGCTCGCTAACACTAGGCAGTGCATCTGATTTAATACTTTTGCACACACAGATGTTTTGATTGATCGAAGATTATGTGGTGAGGATGAAACTAAAATGTATTTACATGTTAAACACAGTGGTCTAGTAAAGAGTATGAGCATCTGGTATACCCACTTCTAAATGCCCTCTGGTGCACATCATTCAAAAGTGTTAGGCGACCTGAATGTTTGTTCTAGGATGGGGAAGGCATCAGATTGATGGAGTAAGGATTACGTCACTCAGAATGTACAACTATGTGGTTGTCTCACCAGTGTTGATCGCAAAATCTGCACTTCTTCTGCGGCTAATGTGAAAATCAGAACGATCCTTCCTCCCCAGCAGAATTTAAATGACAATCTGCAACTGGCCCCTTTTTGGAAGAGCTATATATGCAAGAGTAGTCTAACATGTCACTGTTCATAACACAGGGTGTTTATACTTTGCTGGATGGGTCACCAACTCCTCCAGGCACCACTACACCACTGGTTAAACATGTTAAATATTTAAATGTTTAAAATTAAACTAGAAATTCCTGTAAGTTTCCATGTAAGTTTGGACGTTTCCTTACTTTCTGACAACGTGCAGCATAACTATAATTATTTATCTGAAGTATTGAGGGAATGTTAGTGTTTTAATTAAAGACACATCAGCTGTTAGAGTCCAAAACAGTTTACTGCTTCAATAAATTAAATGTGACTTTAAACTGTGAAAACCGAAGTACCGGAAATATTTGTAGCTTTTGTTAAATTTATATTTAAAGAAGCCTTTTGTCTCTGCTCTCAGCAAGTATAATCAATCAGCTTTGATGCTTTTATTTTAAATTTTCTTTCTTTCACTCTGTGGTTTTTCTTGTTTGTTTACAGTACGTTTTGTGACTGCTGCAGTGTGGAATATGGTCTGAACAAAAAAAATCTGTAAGGAGTTTATATATTTGTACTGAATGCCGATTGACATGTTCTTATGTGATGTATCACCTGTGACAGGTCGCAGATCGGAAACCTGTTCAGTGTTTCTGTTCAGAAGGTTTCAATAAAACTGAAAATTCAAAACAAAATGTAAAAATGTGAAAATTACTGTGTGGGTGTGCAGAAGTGTTAGGAAGTCCATTCATGGATTGGATCATTCAAACATTTGTTTGTCGTTAGATTTGCTTATTTTATTGCTAAACCGACCTTCAACAAACACACCTGGAACTACATGAATAGATCATTTGTAGTGCCAAAATCAAAATATACTTCAGTAAGAAAACCACAGATTTGATTTAAGTATGTCTAGACACTGAATCACACTGATATTTTAGTATATTTGCTTGTTTGTACATGAAAGGACCAGAAATTTTAACACATTTATCTGCAGTAGATGTAGAATAGGGGACAATGCAATATTACCGGTATTGATTATTGACAATCTCTGGAATTGTATTCTGAAGATATTATGATGAGTTGTTCTTGATTCCAAAAACAACTATTTCTGAACTCAGCTCAGTATCAGTCACCGACCACGCTGAGCTTCACGACGGCTCTTCAGAAACCTGCGGGTGATGTCACGGAGACTACGGCCATTTTTATTTACACAGTCTGGGGCAGAGATGCAGCAAATGGTCGATAGATTCCACCTCCATAAATTTGCAAATCGTGCCCCAAATGTGGTTCTTTGTGCATAAGAGTGTTCTGTGTCATCATGAATCCCACACGGACAATAAAGCCAATTTCTTCATGTAAACACATCCAAATATCACGCATGGATGCACAAACAAGCCCATGTGCTAATGCAGGCACAAACACCACACATGAATGGACACAAATCTGTCTTCGTATGCTCTCTTTCCCAGTCAAATACAATCCTCCACACACACACACACACACGCTTTAATGTGCTTTAATTAAAGCAGATAATTATTCACCCTCAGAGGACAGGCCACCTTGGCAGAGTCGTCCTTTGCCTCTCGATGACTAACCCTCAACATTCCTGCTCGTCTCCTGGACACGACTCGGAGCTCAGTATTTTTTTTGAGCATAGCACCGTTATAGGGAACAAGGTGATAAAGCTCCACTTTACTCAGGTTTTAATAAGCTGCTATTTAAAAATGTGCATAAATCACCTCAGACTGTGTGTAGCCACTCGTGTTTACAGATCCCCTTTGCTCAGAGAGAAATATTCACAGCAGGGAGATAAAAAGGTTCATCTCCAAAGACTCAAAGCCGTCTAACCTGGAGTTTTCTTTAGAGAGACAGAAGCCTCACCCAACCCTTGATGTTTGATATGTTCTGCCTGAAAAGATGAATCTGGAAGATGCACCTTGAGCAGATTTAACAGCAGCAAAGTAATAAATGACTGTAAACACCCGGATCATCACATGCAGGGGCGGATCTGGACAGGTGACAGTGGCCACCCCAGTTTGGTGTGAAACGCTTTAAAATCTAACACATTAATTAGGATTCATTTGAAAAAAAAATATAGAAATTATTTGAATGATCCGTTATGGCCACAGTTCAGACTCAGTGATAGGCTCAAGTTCAATCAAAAAATAGTATTTAGAAGAATTGGAAATAAAATGTATTGATTTCTAATGCCACCTCTAGATATTTCTATTCAGTGCTACAACAGTGAGTTCAAATATCTTTATTTGAGTGCTTTTCCATGCAAATATTGATATATGTGATTGTCAGTTTTCTCTCTCAAAGCTACCACATGAACATTTCTCTAGATCTGTCCCTGAATCAGAGGACCACAGGCATTATTCTGCTGATCTACTAGTTTGTCTTTCAATTTAAAATGACTTTATTGGCTTGACGTAAGGCTGCAGACACTGCCATAGCATCAGCAACATTAATTAAAAAACACTACAGCAAAGAAAGATATTACAAGACTGGTAGTTTTTCTTCATCTAGTAGGTTAAGAACACCTTTTGGTATTAATTCAAACTGATTAAAATATGCTTCTTAAAAGAGGTGTAGCACTGTTTCAGGTTCTTTCTGTTTGTGAGAGGAAACCCACACACGGCTCGGTCCTCGGCTGAGTCGGGACAAACTGGCTTTTGAAAATGCAAAACAGGTGGTGAGATAAAAAGCTTTGGGACGAGCCTGTCGGTCTGTTTCATCTGCTGTTGGAGGATGTGTGGAAACAGAGCCAGGCTGGTTTCATTGTAAAGAGCCCTTAAAAGATAAAACTCTGCTCTGCTCACCTCACTCTTTCTTCTTCAGTCTTCTAGTTTACGTCAGAAACAGAGTTGTGACCCAGAATCCCGTTTTTGTCTCCAGAGTTATTATTGATAAACACTTTGCCTGGTTGCTTTTCGTGATGGTTTGTGTTTATGTGGAGCATTTTACTTATTTTCTGTGTATTTGGATCATGGAAATGTGCTACAGTGCACAGCTATTCAAAAGCTCTTTTCTTGTATGTGCATGGGTTTTGATAGTTGCACATCAGCCACCACAGTGGACGCTAATGCATCATCCTATACACTGCCACCCACTGGCTAGCCAGTGTAAGTGCAACACAAAACTGCACAGCAGATGGTGACATCTAGTAACAACTATGAGTTATACAGTTAAGTATTGATCAAATGTTGGGAGAAAATTACAATGAATCGTCTGTCCACTAAACTGGACATCATGCGCTGGCTTTCAGCTAAACTCCGTACAATATTGGAACTTACTGACAATGCTTCATCTGCAACATTTTCTGGCTATGCTATTAGAATGTAACAAAAGCAATATAACAGCTATAACAGGTAGTGTATTTTAATATACAGTTGAAAACTCAAATGCAAGCAGTCCATCTGAGTGGACGTGTAAAAAACTCCTTGACAAAAAAGAGTAATAAAACACTTCCTGAAGTTGTCGTTCATGCATGAAAGAGTTAGATGTCCTTGTACAGAGTCAGTATTCCTCCTCGTGTGTTTTTCCGTCCCTGTTAGAGCTTAACATTTGTTATGAGTGCCGTGAAGTGTCTCTTGATCCCTTAAAGCTCGCAGGTTGAGGCTAAAATCCTGAGTTCGCCAACATTTCAACATGAAGTCGAAACTTCACTTTCTTACAACTACAACCCAACAGATGCATCTCCATGACAACCGAGCAATCCAGACCTTGTGTCCGCAATTCAAAGCCCTGGAAAAAGGCGGCTTTTTTAAACAGCACCCCCGTGGAGGAAAGGAAACCCTTTATATTTAAATATCTTAACTTAATAGCTGTATATATCTTAGTGTAATCACTTCACTCATTCATTCTGTTAATGCTGTTCATACTGTAAATATCCTGCTAGTATATTCGTATATATATATATATATATATATATAATGTTATTTCTTTTAATATATATATAATATCCCTGTACAATGACAATATAATTGAATCTAAAATCTAAATCTAAAATAAACGAGTCAAAGAAATCATTATAACAACATTTTAATCATGAAATGAACAAGAAAACTTTGTTAAGTAAAAGTTTTTTAATAGTTTTTAATGTCCTCTTTAAAGTAACCCAACTAAAACTTTTATTCTTCATAAGAAGCACAGAAATTGAAGTTTAGGCAAATTCTAACTAAGTTTAATCACAGATGTCTCCCCACTCACCTGTCTGTGGGCCCTGGCGTCTTTATATAACCCCTCTGCTCTGTTATAGACGAGACTTCGGAGCAGTTTCCACATGTTTTTGCAGACCGTTCAACAGTTTGAAAAGAAGCACGTTTTGTTTTCTTTTAACCTTTCGTCTTATCGTCTGTTACCTGAGGAACAGCGAGGGGACGATGGAATAAATTAGAGGTAAATCAGTGAAGGAGGCTCTTGTTTTATGGATGAGAAGACTGTGGGGGCGGTGGGCGAGAGACATTCAGGTGACTCAGCCTTGTTAGAGGGAGAGAGAGGAGTGGAATTAGAGTGAGTTGTGGTCTTATAAAGTCAGGTTGTGTGTGTGTGTGTGTGTGTGTGCATGTCTATGCCCTGTTTATAATTTGTTTTATTGATCTCACACACACTCATTAGTCAGGAAATCGATGGAGGAGGAGGTCAGAGAGAACAATTAGTGAAGTCTTGATGACTCAGGTTGTGTTGTTGTGTATTTGTGTGTGTTTAGGAGCCGGTTTCCCCTTTTCCTTCCTCTCTTTAATACTAATACTTCTTAAAGGCCCCGCTTTTTAAGTATGGGTGTTCTCACCCGTCCTGGCTAATTAAAGCTTGTTAATTTGTGTGGAGCTTTGCTGGGAGGTCACTGAACTTAATTTACTAATAAAAAATGGCTGCAAATAAGCTGCAAGGGCAGTGAAACCTGCTGATGTGGAGAACAACCGCCTTACACTGAACCAGAAACAGGTAAATATAAGAACAATGTTTAAGTGTTTGCAACCTGTGCATGTGGTCACTCATTGGGCAGAACTCATTTTAAGATATTGTGTCATTTCCTGTATTGACATATAGCAAATGTTGATTAATACTGTACAGATTCATATATAACCTATACAATTAGGCTACAATTAGCACACCGGGTGAAAAAGGTGTACGTTTTCACGCTTTACAGACTGTCAATCAAGCCTGATCTGACCATACCCACATAGTCCTGAGCAGCAGTCAGATTAGCCACAAGCAGTGAAAACATCTTTGTGTGTGCAGCAGAGGAGGGATCCCTCCACCCGGATGGACAGACATGCAGTAGGTGCAGAGATACTGTTTGTTTGTTTCCTCTGGCTGCAGAGAATCTCATTTTATTGTGAAATATTTTGCTGCCATCCAGTGGCCATGATGTTACAGGAGCAGATTAAAGGACCACTCCACAGTTTAGGCATGTTTTAATCTACAAATAACACAAACTGATTACTGTTCTCCAGTTTCCTTTCACTATACTTGAAAAATGTACATAAATGTATTATAAATTATTGTTGTATGTAGCCCTATGTGTGCTGTGCTTACACAATATCACATAGAATTTGGACTGAATGATAAACTTTCTGTATATTTCTACAGAGCTGCTTCTACAGCGATTTAGGGGCTCAGCAGCATATAGGGCGACACATACAGAATGT